TCACGGCCTGAATTCCCTGAATTAACATTGCTATCAGCCACTAGCCCCAGCGCCTAGAGTGTCACCTAACACAAAGGGCTTAATCAGCCTCTTGGAGAACTAAATCAGCCCTTCTTACAAAGGGGAGAATAACGAGACACCTTGCCTTACTCTTCTCCATGCACAGTGGAGTGGGGGCCGCCATTTCCACTGCAGGGCACAGGTGGACAAGCTGCTGGGAGTGGCTCGGCATCTTGCCTTGGGCCTATGGCAGAAAGAGTCTTCACAGTGGCTTCTTGACTCCCTTGAGCTGTCTGTCTCTGAAGGGCTGGTGCTTTCTGTGTCTATGAGAACCTAAAGGGTTCCCATTTGATTTTATTTTATTTATTTTTCGTGATGGAGTTTCGCTCTTGTTGCCCAGGCTGCAGTGCAGTGGCACGATCTCGGCTCACTGCAACCTCCACCTCCCAGGTTCAAGCGATTCTCCTGCCTCAGCCTCCCGAGTAGCTGGGTTACAGGAGTGTGCCACCATGCGTGGCTAATTTTTGTATTTTTAGTAGAGACAGGTTTCTCCATGTTGGTCAAGGTGGTCTCAAACTCCTGACCTCAGTTAATCCGCTCACCTCAGCCTCCCAAAGTGCTGGGATTATAGGCATGAGCCACCGCGCCTGGCCAGGGTTCCAGTTTTAAAGAGAACTCTCCTGTCCAGAGAGGTCTGAGGGCAAGCAGTTAGGACTGAGGCCACAGGGAGAAGCCACATGCATGCTGCACACCTGGGCCTGGGAGCCACCAGCTTTTAATCCTGACTCTGCCACATCTGAACCCTGTCACCTGGGCAGATGTCTTTACCTCATTTATTCCTCTGTAAAATTTGAGTGTAATTTCATGAAAATGTAACTTCATGAAAATTTCCAGAATGTTAAAAAGAGTTGTGAAGTGCATTTCACTGTGCCTCACACAGAGTTAAACCATAATTATTGCCTTTGTCTGACAAGGCGAGTTGCTCTAGGGAAAAGAGCCTTCTGTGCCTGGTGCCGTTTAGACCTTTATGCGTGGTTCTGGGTGATAGCATCACTCCCTTGCAGCAGGATTAAGATAGGAGAGTTGGGCCCTGAACGGACATTTTGCTCACCTAACTCCTATTCACCCTTCCAGGCCCAGCCAAAGTGTCCACTTACCATGGTTTCTGACCTGCCGCCCTGGGAGGGTTAACGTTTTCCTCTTTGGACTCCTGTGGACACTTCCCCCCTACCCCATCCTGGTAACACTACACTGTGGTAGTCTTTCTTCCCGTGTCTTATTCACACATCTGATGCTGTTAAGGTCTTTTCGGAAAAAGCCCCTTGTCTCATGTTCCCTGAATCTTTCCCATCCATGCCCATGTCCTGTTGTGTTTTTATGGCACAGACATCTGGTCCAAGGAGATATCACCTCCCTTGAGTAGACAGCAGGCCAAAAATGTTCATGTCTCCCCAAAGGTGAGATTCTTTCTCCTCTCCTGCAGCTAAATTCTGCCTCAGACTACCCTCCTCTACAAATCTGGTCGCAAACTCCCTTGAATAAATAGGGCCCTCAGCAGACTTCTTCCTGGCAACCCTGGGCCAAAGCTCCAGGAGTGGATGCCAACAACATCAGTGAGCATTTCCTCGGAGCAGCTCAACTCCCCGTGCATCGTGGCACTCTCATGGCATCGTGCTCTATCTCTTTAGCATCAGGCCAAGTAGTGTCAGAGACTCACTGAGACCACAAGGCTCCTGTGGCTGGAAGCAGGGTTCAGCTCATTTCGTGGTTCTTTAACCAACATCCCTGAGCTTCTAATTAGGGGTCGGGGTCTGCCCAGGGAGCATAGCGATGGGTTCAGGCTCTGGCCCCTCAAGCTCCTGGTGAGAGGGGACACCAGCGAAAACTGCCCCAGTACCCAGGAGTGCATGTGGCACCGTGGGAGCAGCGAGCAGGGATGAGTGACTGCCACAGAGGCCTGCGTGTGTCAGGAGGATGGGCCAAACAGAAGGAATAGAATGGCAAAAGCAAGGAAGAAGTTGGGGAAGGAAGGATGTGGCGTGTGATCCCAGGATGTGTTTGGAGCATGAGGTATGCGGAAGACCAGAGGCAAAGTGACACAGAAGGACTCTAGGAAAGCAAGCCAGGCTCAGCTTTGGCGGCGTGCGTTTGCTGGTTAAGGAACTTTTCCTTTCCTTACCCATATCAGGCCCTTGTGTGTGCCACACATGTTGCTAGGTGCACAACGTTGAACAAAACAGACACCATTCTGGCCTGCGTGGAGCGTGTAGTCTAGTGGGAAAAAGAGACTAATATTAGTCAAATATTCACACAAAGCTAACATCTGTGCAGAGTTCCTGAGTAGGATAGTGACATGGTCTGATTTGCGTCTTAGAAAGCACTCTAGCCGGAAGAGCTGGAGGAGAATGGGAGGGATGAAACAGGACAGGGATGAGGCGTGAAACCTCTGCTGTGGTTTGCGCCTGTCCGGGCCTATGCCAGAGGAGTGGACTGGAGAGCGGGGGGTGAGCGTGAGACGCCTCACACATGAAAGAGGAAGGACTTGGGAAGTTTGATAGGTCCACTGCATGTAACCGTGGATAATGGACAGCTAAGAAAAAACAAAAATAGATTTGGGGTGCAGTCTTGATGGGATAGTAATTGGAAGTTTGGGGCTATTTTGAGCTTGAGACACCAGCAGATCATCAGGTGGAGGTTGAGATGATGGGTCTAGAGCTTCGGAAAGGTGTCTGAGCTGCCAGGATTTGTCAGGAGTCATCAGTGTGTGAGTGATGCTACGTGCATGGATAAGATCACCTGGAGACAGAATTACTTCCCCTGCTGTGGTCCCAAGAGTGAGACCAAAACTTCCAACCACGGGTAAAATTCTAGCTGGGCTTCTGTTACTTAGCACTAGCTGGTTTCTCAGCTGTTGAGCAAGGAAGATGTAAATCCATGCCAAAGTAATAAATGGCACATAAAGCTATTTTTCCGAAGGAACTACTGGTTTTTTTTTTCTTGTACACAAAGTAAAGTTTGTGTTGTTTTCCTTCTTGCTCTAGCAGCCAGGAAGCTCAGAGCTAATTTTGTAACTTAACTTAGAAACCACATAGGAACCCATATTTTTTTTCCCAAATAAATACTTTCTATATATCTATGTATTTTGCAGCCCTGATGTTTTTGCTTGTTGCTTTAGATGCTCATATAAGCTGCCTCAGATCCTTTGTAAAATTAGGTAGGGTGTAACTGTATAAAAATAAGTGTTCTCCTTACCCTAATATTTTTGGGTCATCCTCACAGCCCTTGTGCAATAAGGCTGCCCGGTTTCTGAGTTAATATTGGCTAGATTTAAGCAGGAGGAACTCTTAGAACTTACGGAAGCTCGACAGTAAATTTAACACTCACGCAACTCATTAAAATAGGATAAAAGTGGAGCTTCAAACATCTCTGTGTTTGCTACAGAGGCTGGGGGGGTGGGGTGTTACCCTTAATTCAGCTCAAGATATGAAAGTCTGATCTTTCAGAATTGAGAATACACCGCTGAAATTAAAGGCTTGTCTGTGTAGTTAAGCACTCCAAACGTGTTCAAAGAAAGATTAAGGTGTTAACTCTATACGGATAGGATTTTTTTTTTAACTCAGGATATCTTTTTGACTCATATGGTTTGGTAAAAGCAAACTTGCTTATCAAACAGCATAAGCACAAAATCGATTAGATAGTATATTTTATTTTTGATCATCCCTATTCTTTAAAATAATTATTTTTAAATTTCAGGTTACTATTGGTTAAGATCACTGTGTAAATGGTTTTCAAAGTATGTCCCACAGCCAGTGACCTAGGTACCGCAAAGATGCCTGGGATGTGGGGGGATGAGAAGGTGGCCAAGCAGGGAGAGCCCAGCCACCTCCCCTGCTCTACCCCCAGGTCCCCCACAGCAGCCAAGCTGTGCATTGCGGAGCTCAGGTAACAGGGCTCCTTCTGTATAAAATCCTTTTTTTTTTTTTTTAAATGGAGTCGCACTCAGTTTCCCAGGCTGGAGTACGGTGATGCCATCTCAGTTCACTGCAACCTCTGCCTCCCAGGTTCAAGCAATTCTCCTTCCTCAGCCTCCCAAGTAGCTGGGATTACAGTCACCTGCCAACATACTCGGGACATTTTTGTATTTTTAATAGAGGCAGAGGCAGGGTTTCACCATGTTGGCCAGGCTGGTCTCAAACTTCTGACCTCAGGTGATCTTCCGACCTCAGCCTCCCAAAGTGCTGGGATTACAGGCGTGAGCCACCGCGCCTGGCCTAGCAGGTCCTAGGCCTAGTGGCTGCTTCTGCATAAAATCCTGTCTGAATAAAGGATTCCACTGCTAAAAGTGAAAAGTTTGGACATCTTCACATTGGAGCGCATGTTCCCCTAAATAGCCCTCGGGGTATGGAAGAGGAGGTGGGAAGTAGAATCTGTTGGTTCCTGCTCTGCCTCCCACCCTCTCTGTAACTTTGCGGGATGACTCTTCCTCTCTGAAACAGCTTCCTCATCCATAAAGGAAAACAAATTCCTTGATAATAGCTACTTCACTAATGAGGGTTAGAAAAATTAGCAGATTTTTCTAATTTTTCTAATGTGTGAGGCACGGTGGCTCACACATGTAATCCCAGCACTTTGGAAGGCCAAGGTAGGTGGATCACTTGAGCTCAGGAGTTCGAGACCAGCCTGACCAACATGGTAAAATCCTGTCTCTACTAAAACTACAAAAATTAGCCTCTCGTGGTGGTGGGCACCTGTAATCCCAGCTACCCAGGAGGCTGAGGCAAGAGAATGGCTTAAACCCCGGAGGCAGAGATTGCACTGAGCTGAGATAGCACCACTGCACTCCAGCCTGGGTGACAGAGTGAGACTCCATCTCCAAAACAAAAAGAAACAAACAAAAAGAAAAAACATTAGCAGATGGGGAAGCTCTGCATATGGGGATTTAAGAACTGGCGGCTCTCACACCGTGCCTCTGACCCTCCTCTCCCCTCTGCACTTCCCAGGAGGAGCCGATCACTTTCTGTGAGGAAGCCTTCGTGTCCCACTACCGCTCTGGAGCCATGAGGCAGTTCCTGCAGAACGCCACGCAGCTGCAGCTCTTCAAGCAGGTGCCACCCTCCCTGGTCTGGCCTGGGTCTGGCTCCCTAGTGAGGATTTATTTCTACAGCTGTCTCCAGTCTGAGCACTGAGGCCACAGGCATGGATGGGACTCAGGCCCCAGGCGAAAGAGGCTCAGGGGAGGGGGATTGGGTGAAGAGGGCAGTCACTGACCAGACAGACCCTTTGCAAATCTGCCATGTGGTTTTCCAAGCTATCATAAACATGTAGCCAGCTTTTTAGAAAGTAACTTTCTTATTGAACCTCACTTTGTAAAAACTCCGTTGCAAAGGACCTTTCCTGCCTTGGATACAGTAAGGTGCCCCGCTGAATGCTTTTCCCCCTTTTCTTTGTACGAGCTGTTGTGCTTTTGTTCTTTCTTTCTATAGTTTATTGATGGTCGATTAGACCTTCTCAATTCCGGCGAAGGTTTCAGTGATGTTTTTGAAGAGGAAATCAACATGGGCGAGTACGCTGGTAAGAAGCATCTCATTTTCCTTTTGGGGCTGCAGGCTGCTATCGTTTAGGGTATGTTTGACAAGGAGTGGCAATGACTTGCTTTTCCTTTATTGGGGCTTAGGAAGAGAGATTTCAGCGTGGCTTTGAAATGTTTGAAGAATTCCTCTTCTTTTTCTGATAAAGTGTATACTGGCCCATGTGAAATCCCCCAGCCTAGGGTCAGATGCTTCCCCTGCGTAGACAAAGTCCAGTTAAAGTAGTGCCCCGTGTGGTCCACTGGGAAGCACACACAGTATTCAGTTAGGAGGCTTGGATTCAAGTCAGGGCTCTGCCTCCTCACTAGCTGCGAGACCCTGGGTGAGTCATTGCCCCTCCTTTAGCTAAAGTTCCTATCCATGCCCTGAGAGTACCATGTCCCACCTCACAGGATTCTTGTTGAGATTAAATCAGAATGCATGAGGAAAGGTTTGTGCAGTCATCCAGGACAGTCCCTGGCATGAGGGCTGTGTGCAATAAGTGTTTCTTTTCTCTTTTTTTTTTCTTGAGAGAGAGTCTTGCTCTGTTGTCCAGGCTGGAGTACGTGGCATGATCATGGCTCATGGCCGCAACCTCTGCCTCCAGGCTCAAGCGATTCTCCTGCCTCAGCCTCCTGAGAAGCTGGGATTACAGGCACGTGTCACCATGCCCAGCTGATTTTTGTATTTTTAGTAGACAGAAGGTTTCACCATGTTGGCCAGGCTGGTCTCAAACTCCTGACCTCAAATGATCCACCTGCCTCAGCCTCTCAAAGTGCTGAGATCATAGGCGTGAACCACCGCACCTGGCCCTGATTCTTTAAAATATGACAAATTACTGCTGAGTGCCTGGTCTCTGTAGATCTGAAGAACTGAAGGGCTTATTTTCTCATTTTTCAGAGGAGGCATCTGAGGCCCAGAGAGGTGTTGGTGGCTGAGTCTGCCTCTTGAATCCCAATATGACCTTCTTTCTAAATCCTATCACCTCAGTCTTTGGCAACGAAGGCAAAACCAGAAGCAAAATAACACCCATGCTGCTGGCCCCCTTATTGCTTTGTATGTGTCTGGTCTGGACTACTGTGATTTGTAAGCTCACAGAGCAAGACACAGTATCCGCCTGTAAATGTTGCAGGTCCTCCCTGCCTGTGCTGCTTGAAGAACGTAGTTAAGAAAACCACCATGGAGTCTAGGAACAGCAATAGCGAGTCATTGATAATCATTTCCTGAACACCTGCCATGTCCAGAGCCCCATGGAGAACAAACGGAGAACCCAGTTCTGCCCTCAAATAGTGTTAGTCAGGTAGGAGAGAGAAATGCATAACTAAAGACAAGCAAAAATTAAATCAATGCAGGAAAAGGAGTAGAAACAGATTTGGGTGCAGTTAGAATAGGGCTCTGTTAATCCTCACTGCGTAATGTGAGGGCTTGACAAAGGAGGCTGGGCTGGGGTTGTGTTCTCACACTTGCCTGTGAGTTCTGAGAAGACAGGCTTTAGGTGTTGCTAAACCAAGTTCACTTATTCACTGGGTTAGGACCCACCATTTAAAATGAATAGAGTTCACCAACAACGCCTCTGTTTTCTTTCCCTCTCACTCTCCGAGGGTTCAACGTGTGTCCGGCAGGGTCCTTTCAATGGGACACACAGCTCTGAGGGTTCCTGCTCTGGTGCCCCTCACAGCACTTCCCAGAATATGGATGTCTCAGTGCTGTTAACTATTCCAGAGGGCTGTTCAAAGGACATCACATCTGAACAGGCTGTCGGGTTTACTAAGCAGAGAGAGTAGGGTATGGTGACGAGGCGAGGGAGCGGCATTTGCAAGGGCCTGGAGGCCTGCAAGGATGCTGGCTTAAGGGCCCATGAGTAGTTTCCCATGGTGGGACATAAGGCGGTGTAGCGCCACAGCAGCACAGGATGGAGAGGCCGTGAGGCACGACGGGAGGAGAGTGGCAGGGCTGCTTCGGAGCCTGACGTCCAGCCAGCAAGCAGTGGGGCAGCTGCTGAGGGCTTGCAGTCAGGGCGCTGCATGACCAGCTCTGTTGGAGAAGGAAACTACGGCAGTGACTCGCTGCCGCCTCCTTTAAGAACAGGACATGGGACCCTCCACAGGATTCTCCAAGACCTGAATGCTGAAAGCAATTTTGGCCGGTCGTGGTGGCTCACGCCTGTAATCCCAGCACTTTGGTAGGCTGAGGCAGGCGGATCGCCTGAGGTCAGGAGTTCAAGACCAGCCCGGCCAACATGATGAAACTCTGTCTCTACTAAAAATAGAAAAAGCAGCCAGGTAAGGTGGCGGGTACCTGTAATTCAGGAGACTGAGGCAGGAGAATTGCTTGAACCCAGTAGCTGAGATCATGCCACTCCACTCCATTCTGGGTGACAGAATAAGACTCCATGTCAAAAAAAAAAAAGCAATTTCAAGACCTCCCGAGGGCAAATCACCTCTTGAAGTAACAGCTTCTCTGACTTCTCTTTTCCCAGGCAGTGACAAACTGTACCATCAGTGGCTCTCCACTGTCCGGGTAAGTGCACCCAGTTCTGAGCCCCCTGGACTCCCTCCTTAGCTTCCTGGCAGCCTTCCGCTTCCCTGTGCAGCCAGAGCACTCCATTCCCGCTGCTGGAGATGTCTTTCTTTTTAAAGCTAGGTTCCTCTCATGCCAGATGGAGACTAGGATGGGACTGTCCAAAGCCATCACTTGGTGGGGGCAGAAAAAGGCATGAGAGGCTTCCTCCTCTGCAGGAAGCCAGCCAAGGAAAGCTGAATGGAATGCTGTTGTCTTAGAGCATTTAGCGGGGGGTCTCCTTCTAGGGCCAGAGCAATTGTCATGATCACGGGCAAACCAAACACGCATCCCCCTTGCTGCTGTGTAACCTCTTCTCCTGGGAAGATGGAGAACCCGTCACTGGGAGGTTGACTGTTGTTGTGAACAGTGTCTTGTTATGTCAGGAGCCAGGTGCGTAGGGCTTCTGAAGCCTCTAAAGAATTTGAAATCTTGCCTTTCCCTTCCATCAGCTTGTAATTGAGGTGTCCTGAAGGCCTACTGTGTGCCAGGCACCATGCTGCATACTGGGGATACCGCAGGGAGCAGGGTACAGGCCCTCCCTGGGGGAGCTCCCTGTCTTGCTGGAGAGGCGGGCACGTCGCAGGCAGCGCCAGCATTAAGTGATAAGTGTCCCCTCCTGCTTATGCGCCAGCGCACTGCTGCCAGGCGCGTCCCTTGGAAGTGGCTGCAGTTGGCGGAGAGTAAGCAATTCCTCCATGAAAGACTTCCTTTGTTCCTCTTGTATGGCTAAACACAGCACTTGGCAAATCAGAGAGGAGTAATAAGGACTTGTTGATTGATTGATAAAGGGAGTTTCAATACTCCAAAGGACCATTTAAATGGGATACTGAGTAATTTTGGAAAGCAGTATGGAATAAATGAGTGGGTGAAAATTTCCTATTGTCCTACAACGTAGAATGCTTTCTAGGTCAAATTGTAATGTTTTTAATTAAAGCTCAAAATGTCTAATGTGGGCAGTTACCAAAAATTGTGCTAAAAGTTAAGGCCAATAATTACATTACTATGTCTTATTCTCTTAGGTACCCACTGGTTCCAGCCTCTCTCCATCCGAATCAGTTTTTTTAAACAACCACAGACCTGATTCTGTGATGAATTTGATTTAAAACGCTCCATACTGTAGACCCCTTAGCCTGGCATTCCAGGCCCTTCATGAGCTGGCCCTATCTGGCTTCCCAGCCTCGCTTACTGCTTTTCTCATGATATAGTCATGGGAGTGTATCACGGTACAGTACAGTAGCCACTTGTCACAGCATACACCATGGCTTTTCAGCTTCTGCACTTTTTTTATGTGCTATTTCCTGTCCCTAAAATGTTCTCCTCCCGTCTCCTACATCAACTCCTATTTATCCTTCATGGACCAGGTCAAATGTCTCATCCTCCAAGGCCTTCCCTGATCTCCCAGGTCTCCACGCTCCCTCTGCACACAGCCACTGCAGCCTTCATCACCTGCTGTTGGTTATTTACTGCGCTGTCTTGCCTCTCCAACTGGAGGTTTTAGAAGGCAGAGACCAGGCCTCCCTTGGCCTAGTGCCTTCAGAACCCTCGCGATGTGTCTGCAGGGATGAGACTGAGAAATGGATTCACGGACAGCTATGAAAACATCCCCTGTGCACTTCAGGTCCTTCCACTGCCTCCTTTGGGAGCGGGAAGGCCTTCCCTCCTCCTTTCTCCCACTTTTGCTCCTAAAGAAAGTGGGCAGGAAATTGCTGTGTTGGATTCAACTAAAGCCATGGTGAACATTTGTGGCTATTCATTCTTTCCTTTTCTCAAGATTTAGATGTTAAGGAAGGCAGCCTACCAGAGAGATTTAAAAAAAAACAACACAGAAAACCAAGGCAAGAAAAGGAAGTTGCACGGTGAGGGCAGTTTGTTTTCCAACGATCCTGGCTGATTAGGGCCCCACTTTCTGCCCCGGCTTGGTGTCAGCTGTGGAGTCCACAGTTATTAAACTTACCTGAGTGTCATCCGTGGTAACTAGAATTTCTTGAAAAGCCACACGTGCCCATAGGGAAGCTCTTGCCTTAGGCAGCCTGTGATCCACTTCCCTCCAGTCAGGGAACAGGTACCAAGAAGAACATGGAGCCCAGAGTCCCCCTCTGCCAGGAATCACACTCCACAGCCCCAGCCCACACACACCCACCCAGAGCTGCTCCGCCATGACCATCACTAACTGGCTGGACCAGTTATCATCCAGGCCTGTTTCTTGATGTGAATTTACATACCTTTGAAATGTTGCTTAACTTGATTGAAGAGAAGCAGTCTTTGTTGGTGTTAGATGACTCTGTCATCAGCCCAAATTGCTAATTGACATTTTTATTATAGAAAGGAAGTGGAGCAATTCTGAATACCGTAAAGACGAAAGCAAACCCGGCCATGAAGACTGTCTACAAGTTTGTAAGTACTGGTCTTGCTCTCAGGAGCCAAACAAATCAGTCCCTTAGCATAATGACACTCTTTATTTACTTATTTTTGAGACAGGGTCTTGCTCTGTTGCCTAGGCTGGAGAGTAATAGCATGATCACAGATCACTGCGGCCTTGACCATCAAGTCTCAAGCAGTCTTCCCACCTCAGCCTCCCGAGTAACTATAACTGCAGGTGTGCACCACCATGCCTGGCTTTTTTTTTTTTTTTTTTTGGTAGAGACAGCTTTCACTATGTTACCCAGGCTGGTCTTGAACTTCTAGACTCAAGCAGTCCTCTTGCCTTGGCCTCCCAAAGTGCTGCAGTTACCAGCATGAGCTGCTGCATCCAGCCAAGCGATGAGACTCAGGTGTACCTGGTCCTCTATTGCAGAGATGACTCAGGCTGCTGAGCTCTTTCCTAAAGGTCTCAGTGTTCTCCAAATTATTTAGCAGATTTTATAACCAGTTCAGTGATGTTTTTAATGTATAGTGTTGCTGCTCACATTTGCCACAGTAGAGAAATAGGAGGCTACTGGTTTTAGCTTTTAAAATGTAGACTAGGTGGCTGCAATGCAGACTGCACCCTGCCTCTGTTTCTGAGACCCGGAAGCATGGTCTATCTGGTGTCTGGCAAAGCCTTCCTGCAGGCATCCCCCATATTAGGTCAAAATAAAGCAGCTCCTTTGCGGGTGACTGAAGAGTGTTCGTGGTGGGATACACCGCTTAATTTTTGTCCCAAATTCTTCATCATCTCTTTGATCACTGCCCTATAGGTAATGCATTACTTGTAAGACTCGTGTCCACAGCCGAGTGGAAATAGGAGAACACATCTGTTCCTGGCACTCCATCTTTCCCAAGCATCAAGTATTTTTTCTTATGACTTCTCTTCCTTGCTAATTTGACCGTGAGCCACTGAAGTGGGGTGGTTCTACTTTATTTCCATTTTTAATTTTGTTAGTCCTCTCTGTGCTTAAACTGTCGTTATTTTAGCAGGGTTGGTGGCTGCCAGCAGAACCACGCAGGTCTAATATGACCTGAAATCAAAGCCAGGGTATCTGCCAAAATGAGGTTTAGGAAATGACATGGTAGAAACCCAGCAACGTGTCTGTTCCGGCCATTCAGCCTGGGCAGAAAATTGGCCCTGGGGCCTTGCACTGGTGACATAGAATGGATATTCTGAATCTTGCAGCCAGAAACGCGGCTGCTGTACTCTTACTAGTAGCTGTCACCAGGCTGCCGAGATAAATAATTATAGAGAGCAGAAGAAGGGCTTTGGAAGGAAAAGAAAAAAAAAATCTGTGCCATCAAAATGCAGAAAATAAAATCTCTGCAGCCTCTTTAAGGGTTCTTTTTTTTAACCTTTTACCGTTGTATTTGTTTTCATAGCCATTATGTTTTCGACTTGATGATCCCATTTTTCCTCCCTTTTTCTAGTAATCAGAGAAGGTGATTCTCGACGGACTGAAATCAAGCACAGTCCCTGCTGGAAACAGAAAGGGAATCTTAACTTAAATTAATTTTTCATGCAGGCAAAAGATCATGCAAAAATGGGAATAAAAGAGGTGAAAAACCGCTTGAAGCAAAAGGTACTTGAAGTTCTTATTCAAAATGTATAAGCACCGTGTATGAAATGCATGGCCACAAAAAAGTATGATGGGATCAATAGAGGGCTGTTTGATACAGTGTTGTTAACACACTTCAAAATGCATTACCAGCTGTCCGGGAGTTTTCACACTGTTATAAATATTCACAGACAAAAAACTGTCTTCAAATAACATTAAGACTCTGGCTTAAACCCACAAAGGCAAGCAAGTTCAGAGCTACCACTGTCGGGCTGTCCCTTGCCCACCCCACCAGGCCTGGGTTCACAGGCGTCTGTAGAAATTGGCTTGGCATCGCCATCTGGCACCTGCCCACCCCCTATGGCCGACATCTGCCTGAGGGCCAGTGGTAACCAAAACCAAGAAGCATCTCCAGGGAATGATTACCATGGTCCAGCACACACGTGGCCACCATGCAGACACGGCACAGGGGGTGGGGCTGAGCAGAATGCCATGGGCTTACCTTGCCTTGGGGGACTAAGTGAGGAGAACCCAGTGGGCACTGCTGAGACTCTGAGTGGGAAGGAGAGGGCTCTGATTGTCTTCACCGGCCACCAGTAAAACTGGGATATCATCCTGACTATGTCCTGGCTAAGATTTCCCCAGCCTGAATCTCTGTTTTCTTTAATCTGACTTTTTTATATTTTATTTTATTTTAATGTTTTTATTTCTGTAAGCTTTTGGGGGAACAGATGGTGTTTGGTTACATGAGTAAGTTCTTTAGTGGTGATTTGTGAGATTCTGGTGCACCTATCACCTGAGCAGTATACAATGAACCCAATTTGTAGTCTTTCATCCCTCACCTGCTTCCCAGCCTTTCCCCCTGAGTCCCCAAAGTCTGTTGTGTCATTCTTATGCCTTTGCATTCTCATAGCTTAGCTCCCACTGTTACTAAGAACATACAGTGTTTGGTTTTCCATTCTTGAGTTACTTCACTGAGAATAAGCGTCTCCGATCCCATCCAGGTTGCTGCGAATGCCATTAAGTCATTCCTTTTTATGCCTCCAGCCTGAATGTCGAGACTTAAGACAGTGAGGTGACTGTAACAAGAGGCTTTTTAATATGATTATGAATGCCATCATCGTTATGACTGTTGCCACCCTTCTTTAAGCTCCTGTTAAGGGTGGTCCAGGCTAGGAGCTTTCACACTTAGTTCTCAGAACAGCCCTATGGAGTATTGTTCCCATTTCACGAGTAAACAGACTGCAGTTCAGAGGTGAAGTCATTGCCGAAGGCCACCCTGAGCCTAGCAGAGTCGGGCTTGGATTCCAGCTCCGTCGCCTTGTGGCAGCTGTACGTTCTTACCACTACCGCATGCACACTGCCTTCCTCAAACAAGTGTTTTGTTTTCCAAAAGATGTTTGGGATCCCCTACTTCATTATCCCTGTGCCCCCAAACGCACCACTCTAATAAGGGCCTTTGTCTATCTCTGCAGTTTTTAAAAAATTGAAAGCAGTTTTAATTTTCTGAAGTCAGTAAGGACCACTAATTAACTTGAAAGGGTCGAAGGAATTGATTCCTTTCTTTTAATTGGAAAATAATTTGCTCTGACTAAGCATTTAAATTCTTAGTTTCAGCTGAGAGTGGATTTTTAGCAGCTGAGATTCACATCCTGAAATAAAAGCTCTGTAATGTAAATCCAGATAGACCTTAAACTGTAGTCTGTTTGCACCCTGCCAGAGACTGGCAGGTGGCATTCTTTACTTGGATATTATTTAAGTCCCTAAATATAGCTTTTTATCTCCCATCCCAGTTGCATGTAGCTGATTGGATTGCAGATATAAAACGGAGTGGCAGGGAGCAGTGAGTTTTCCCTCCTTGATGCCTGGATCGTAAGTTCTGGTTGGTATTTGAATATCCCCTGAAGTAAGCAAAGAAAGGGGTCCCTCCTCAGGCAGAGGCCCCATGAGCCCTCATTGGTCAATTGCCCTCTCTCCAGACCATTAAGCTACAGACATCACCTTACCTCCCTACTTGTATGTACAAGCCTCTGGCTTTGGAAAATCCCCTTCTTATGATATGTAACGTTTCTGCAAATAACCAGTTAAGCTCAGATTTTTAAACGTGTTTCTTCAAAGGTTTGTTTAAACAATCTAGATCACTTTCCTTCCACGCTATCTTCCCTTCCGTTCCTTGATAGTGTCTAAAGCAGATGTCTCCCTCCCCTTCCCTTCCCCCTGCCAGTCTTTTCAAGAATAGCTTCAGGAGATAATGTTCTATAGAGAGTGTCAGTACATTTCAGGTGACACAAATGGTGAAGGCATTTTATAGAAATGTGGCTTGTCACCATCGGACTGTTGACAGATCTATTAGTGCACCCTTTTCAATTTTCACTTTTCCCCCCTTCGGTCGTACAGATTTCTACAGACTTGATATTTTGCAGTTGTTCTTGGAAGAGAGCTATTTTGTAATTGAAACTCTAGCATTGCTCGCATCTACGGGACTTGGGGCTCCAGCACTCTCCAGCGCCTTTTCTTGAACTAATTTAGGATTTGGCTGCACCTGACCTCACATAGCAGTAGAAAATATTTCCTTGGCTGTTTTTGTCCTTCTCCCTGCTGCCCCCTCCCCTTCATCAGGCAACGGGTGTACCTCGTGAATGTACCCCAGATGCCTCTAATACAGACATCTCAAGTTTGGTTTCTGCCACGAAATCGAGGCAATTCCCAACAAAGATCCAATTTTCAAATGTGCTGGGTTGCCACCTGGCCTCCTCTAACTCTGCATAGCAATGGTGACCTCGCAGATATAATCAAGAACCCAAGCTTGCCCTCTTCACCCTCGCCTTGGGTTTGAATTGCAAATAGAAAATGTGGGGCCGACCTGTGGAGAGGTCACCATGGTGTGTGGAGGGTCCATCTCTAATATGACTGAGCTGGGTCCCTTCTCCATCCCTTGTTCATTTGTGCTGCACATTTTCAAAGCATCTGAAATCAGAGCTTTCAGGATATCTGTGTGACCATTGGCAAATAATTGTTAATAGATCCGATGGTGTGGCTTTATTCCATACCTGCTCTGCTTCAACCCAACAACAAAAAAAGAAGGATGGATAACATTTTTCTCTAGATAAACGGAGCGAGGTGGTCAGGTTCTTCCATAGCTTGGCCTCCTTTGAAGTGTGACTTGCTCAAAATTAGGAAAAAGAAGAAATGGCAAAGATGCTACCCAGCCATCGCTTTCTAAGGAAGAATGTAGTGCTTTCATCTGGAGTGTCTCCCTGCAGAAGAATGCCTCCTGGATGGGCTTGTGACTGTCAACAAATTGCATTCCACTGCAGCACCAGGCAGGGCTGGCACGAGAATGCCCTGCTTTAAAAGCAGTGGTGCAAATACATTTCTCCTCACCTGCAGGCAGCATTAAGATATTCACATAGGGATGCCTTCTTCTGCCTTTTGAGGAACGCCTGAAATTTTTCTTTTTCTTCAATATCAAAATGATTTAGCCAAATGGACCCATTTCACAGCGCTTTGTAAAGTTTCTGAATCTTTTGTGTTTTTATTTTCTTTTTTTCTTTTTTTGAAACAGGGTCTTACTCTGTCTTCCACGCTGGAGTGCAGTGGTGCCGTCACTGCAGCCTTGAGCTCCCAAGCTCAAGGGATCCTCCTGCCTCAACCTCCAGAGTAGCTAGGATGACAGGCATGCACTACCATGCCTGGCTAATTTTTTTTTAGAGACAGAGTTTTGCTCTGTTGCCCATACTGGTCTCACACTCCTGGGCTCAAGTGATCCTCCCTCCTAGGCCTCTCAAAGTGCTGGGATTACAAATCTTTGATCTTTAAAAGACAAATTGAGCTTGTTGATTTAGAGTCTCTGTGATTGAAAGGAGCAAATTCACAGTTGGTTTCACAGAGGCTTGAATTTCTGGCCAAACAGTTCCCATTGAAGGGAGTGAGTAAGTGTGCGTGGGGCAGGGAGAGTTAGGTAGACTCTTGTAGAACAGATGCTTTCACACCTTATCACACAACTGTCAGCTCCCTGTCTCCCGACACATTAAAATACGCTGCAGCCTCAATCACAGAAATTCCAACTTTGGTTACTATTTTGATGTCGATATTCATATTTTTCATTTGCATTTGCTGTGCTGTGAGGTGGCCTGGGAAAAGAAGGGTGCAGCATGAGTCTGAAAATGGAGACGGGAGTTCTCACACCCATAGCGTGAGTCAGATGGGAAGGCCTCTGCTTCACTCCCATAGGGGCCGGCCTTTCAACTCCCCCACATGGTGATGTGGTGTTTGGGCTTCTGAGGCAGGCAAGCAGGGCTCAGTGCTAGTTGTGTAGGATATTAACTGTGTGACTTTGGGTAAGTTACTAGACCTCTCTGAACCTAGTTTTTCTCATCTGTAAACTACTGGATAGCTGGAAGGAGTAGAAGAGATAATGTGTTGAAACAGCAATACTTAGTAGCCACTTAATGAGAGTTTCCCTTTTGTCGGTCTTTTTTTTTTTTTTTTTTTTTTTTTTTTTTTTTTTTTTTCAGACACAGTCTCACTTTGTTGCCCAAGCTGGAGGGCAGTGGTGTGATCTCAGCTCACTGCAACCTCTGCCTCCCAGGTTCAAGTGATTCAGCTGCCTCAGCCACCCAAGTAGCTGGGATTACAGGCACCCACTACCACAGCTGGCTACTTTTTATATTTTTGTAAAGACAGGGCTTTGCCATGTTAGCCAGGCTGGTCTCGAACTCCTGACCTCAGGTGATTCTCCCGCCTCGGCCTCCCAACGTGCTGGGATTACAGGCATGAGCCACTGTGTCTGTCCCTCCCTGTCTTCTTATGTCCCACATCTGAAACAGCCAGTCTGCCCAAATACCCATGTGCGCACACCTGGAGACCATGTCCAGGGTGAGTGGATTACCGCCCTTGAGGTTGTCCACACAGCCACCAGAGGAATCTTTGTAGGACCCAGCACTGACCAAGTCACTCCCTTGGTTAGAACATTTCGGACCTTTCCAACCTTCCACCACCTTGCCTGAGGGCGGCCCACGGGT